TTCCTCTGAATTCTAATCTCATATGTTCGCTCCTCCGAGTAACTCCTTTTCCCTACATCTCCATACCCGTTTTCCCCCAAACGGTCGCGTGTGTGCTGATTACCCTCAACACAGCCCTACTAGGTCCCCCATATTTGCATGCCAAGTGTTTCTATGAGTGTTTGTCCCACTCTAATACCATCTATCATGGACTTAACTGGTTTTGCCTAAGTCATGTGGCACCCTTGTGTGTCCGTCCACAAAGGTCAGCCTCCCCGAAACCTCCCATGGTCCTTTAGGACCTACAAAAGAGAAAATGGGTTAGAGAAAGCGCTTCACTCGGGATCCACAAGCAAACATTCTAGGAAACACTTCATAGACAATACAAATTACAAACAGACTTTATAAGCTCTGAACGATTGCACAACAAATGGTCAAAATGGTCCACTACATATCGAATATCTCTCACAAGTGTCCACATGACATAACATTTATTTACAAGCCTAAGAAGGCCACCAAACCCAACTAAAATGGGACTGTTAAGCTTTCAACCATTCCTCTATATGTTGTGCAAAGTATGAACAAACAGAAAGACATGGACATACATAAGTATTACATTAAACATCCTATTTAGAACTTTGTCCGTGACATAATTTCGTTGAGTTATTTAAGGTTTCTTTAGGAACCCAAACTAATTTGTGTGGACTATACCTTTTAAGAGAACATCTATAAGCATAATGTCTATATTTTTCATAAAAATTACACTTATCTTTAGGTGAGATATATAATGTAGATCCTTTAACGAAAATAGTTGGCCTTTGTTGAGTGTTATGTATAAAACCAATTCCTTCCTTTCTATGAACATGACCCTTTTATTAGCTAGGATCATCTTTAGAGATTTATTACATATTTTAAATTTTTCTTATATTTCTTGTAGTAAGACATTTTCCTTTTTAAATGAATCTATCTCATCACACTTAGTGCAAGAAGCTCACATATTATTATCATGCTCATTTTTTAATTTATCAAATTCACTAACAAGAGAAGCATGCTCCTTTTTTAACAACTTGTATTTTTTACTAACTAGCTTAAATTCATCATATAGATCATTGAAAGTAATAATTAAATGATTATAAGCTAAATAAGATTTGATTGAGTCACTTACCTCATCATTGAGCATTATTAGAGTGTCATTTACAACTTCGTATTTGTTGATTGGCTCCTCGTCTTCGGATGCACTTGAATTGTCCCAAGTTTCTTTAACCGTCTTCTTTTTCTTTGGTAGCTTCTTCTTCACTTGGGGACATTCATTTTTTAAGTACCCCAGCTTCTTGCATTCATAGCATATTATTTGGTCCTTTTTTAGTTCACTTTTATTTTTAATATTTTGTTTTGTTTTGTTCCTTTTAAAGAATTTTTTAAACCATCTTGTAAGAAGTGCCAAGTTATCATCATCATCATCGTCACTTGAGTTTTCACCCAAGTAGCCTTCTTTGGTTCTAAGTGGCATGTCCTTCCTGTTCTTTAGAATGTTGTTGTCAAGTTCATCATGTGCTATGCATGTCATTTCATAGATCATCAAGGACTTGATAAGTTCTTCAAGTAGAAAGTTATTGAAGTCTTTTGCTTCTTGTATTGTCGTTACTTTAGGATCCCAACTTTTTGTAAGGGATCTTAATATCTTGTTAACAAGTTTAAAATTAGATAAACTTTTATCAAGTACTTTAAGACCATTGATCACCTCCGTAAAACAGGTGTACATGTCTCCAATGGTTTCGCTTAGTTTTATGCGAAATAACTCATGGCTATGAACCAAAAGATTAATTTTTGACTATTTAACCCTGCTTATACCTTCGAGTGTGACTTCGAGTGTGTGTCAAATATCATGTGCTGTTTCGCACATAGAAACCCAATTAAATTTGTTTTTATCAAGAGCACAAAACAAAGCGTTCATCGCTTTAGCATTCAAAGAGAAAGTCTTTTTTTCTAAATCATTACATTCATTCATTGGTTTAGAAGACTTCTCAAAATCGCTTTCTACAATGTTCTACAATTCAAAATCCATAGAAAGCAAGAAAATTCTCATTCTAGTTTTCTAGTCTGTCCCATTGAATATAGGAGAATGAGTGATAGAAAGACCCTCATGATTGCCGACAAAAGCTATCTATCTTGTGTTTTAAACCAAATAGAAAGTAACCTTGCTCTGATACCAATAGTTAGGATCAAGTCGGCACTAAGAGCAAGGGAGTGGGTGAATTAGTGTTTACGATTTTGAAAAACTTGATTTGATGAAACCCGTATCGAAAATGATATTGAAAGTGTGTTTCATGTGAAGTAAATGTAATAAGTAATTTAAAATAAATAACAATAGTAATAAAGGGTAAAAAGGAGAGTGCACACCAAATTTATAGTAGTTCGGTCATCATGACCTATATCCATTCCCGATTCCTCCTCTATTAAGGCCATCGGCGTTCACTAATGGTTTTCCTTCAATGGGCGAACACTAACTACCCTGTTATAACTCTTATATCCTTTTACAAGTTTAGGAGACAATCTTTTACAAGGCTCACACCTCTCTTAGATTGATCATAAAGCTAAAGAAAGAGAAGGACATTTAGTACTTTTTTAATACTTTTACACCCTCAAATCTTAAGACTTTTGTTCACACTTTCGTGTTCTTTCATGCAGGAAAGAGTGAGGTATTTATAGACCCCAATGACTTCAAAAATGGAGCTAAAAAATGTCTCATCCTCGGTTTTCGGGATATTGGTAGTACCACCGCCATTATTGAGCAATACCATCGCCTGCAGATTGATACTAGGCGATACCATCACCTAGTCTAGACGATATGACCGCTTGACAGAGCCTCGAAGATTGATACCATCACATCACATGATATGTCTATCTAATGTCATTCAATGGTGTCTTAAAAATTTTATCAAATTTTGATGAGGTTTTAACCCAAATACAGTGTTTTTTTTTTAGTACAAGGTCTTGGATTTTATAAACCAAAATTTTAAGATAGGTTTTCCTAGCTCAAATATTAAATAACATTGCATAGATGCATCATATTTTGGTTCGAAATAAAAAAAAATAATATATTCACATATCAAAAATATTAAAAACATCAAATAACTTTTTAAAATAAAAAATTAATATATATGTCTAACTTGGTGTAATTCAATAGTGTCTTAAAAATTTCACTAAATTTTGATCAGGTTTTGACCCAATTATTTTATTTATTAAGTTGGCCAAAAAAAATGGCGGAAGTGATACAAGAGCTTGGATTTTGTGATCCAAATTTTTAGGATGGGTTTCTCATCTATTTAGAGGCTTAAATATTAAAAAATATTATATGTATGCATCATATTTTAGTAAAAAAAATGAAGAAATTAGAAATAATTCATATTGATCATATTTTGAAAATATTAGAAAAATATAAAAAATAAAATAGAAGATATATCATATATATCCATATGAGTGTCACTCAATGGTGTTCTAAAAATTTCACTAGATTTTGACTTAGATTTGACCTAGTTACACTGTTTTTGAGTTAGACCCAAAAATAGTATAAGTGATACAAGAGCTTAAATTTTGTAAATCAAATTTTTAAGATAGGTTTCCCACCTTTTTAGAAGTTCAAATGTTAGAAAAATATTACATCCATATTT